TACTCATGCTCTTTCTGTTCCAGATTTTTTTTTCCCCTTTGTGATACTAGGGATTGAACCCGGGGAACTCTACTATTGAGTTACATCCCCAAACTTTTTATTTTATATTTATTTTGAAACAGGGTCTTGCTAAGTTGCCAAGGTTGGCCTCCAACTTGAGATCCTTCTTCCTCAGCCTCCCAACTAGCTAGAATTACAAGCAGGCTCAGGGCTCCAGATAATTCAAGAATGACAGATGACATAAAACATTTGAAACATCAATTATCCAAAAATGAAATTAAGAAAATTTCATGGGAGGCTGAGGTGGGAGGATCACTTCAGTTCAGGAGTTTGAGACCACCCGGACAATTTAATGAAACCTCATCTACTTAAAAAAAAGGAAAACCAAGTTCGTACACAATAGCATCATCAAAAATAAAATACTTAAGGGGCTGGGATTGTGGCTCAGTGGTAGAGTGCTCACCTAGCATGTGCGAGGCGCTGGGTTCGATCCTCAGCACCACATAAAAATAAAACTGGGCAAGATGGCAAATGGCTATAATCCCATCTACTGAGAAGTGGAGGCAGAAGAATCACTGGTTCAAAGCTAGCCTCAGGAACTTAGTAAGACCCTAGCTCAAAATAAAAAATAAAGGGGCTGGGGAATATGGCTCAAGTGGTACGTGCTTGCCTGGCATGCGTGTGGCCTGGGTTCGACCCTCAGCACCACATACAAATAAAGAGGTTGTGTCCGCTGAAAACTAAAAAATAAATATTAAAAAATTTAAAAATAAATAAATAAATAAAATAAAAAATAAAAAGGGTTGGGAATGTAGCTTACCTGGGTTCCATCCCTAGTTCTACAAAATAAAATTTTAAAGATACTTAAGAATGGTTTAACAGGGCCTGGGGTATAGCTCAGTGGTAGAGGGCTTGCTTAGCAAATGTGAGGCACTGTATTTGATCCTCAGCACCATATAAAAATAAAGGTGTTGTGTCCATCTACAACTAAAAAAAAAAATTAAAGAATGGTTTAACAAAAAGTACAAAATATGCTCTGGAAAGTATAAAATTTAAGAATGATGTAAATAAGTGAAAACATCCTATATTAGAAGACTTAAACATTAAGATGGAAACCAGCTAAGTGTGATGGCACATGCCTATAATCCCAGCAATTTGGGAGGCTGATATAGGAGGATCACAAGTTCAAGGCCAGTCTCAGCAATTTAGTGAGAGCCTGTCTCAAATAATAATAAAAAGGACTGAGTATGTAGCTCATTGGTAAAGTGCCCCTGGGTTCAGTAATCACTAATAGAAAACAAGCATTAAGATAGCAGTCCCCAAACTAATCTATAGATTTGAAATAATCTCTACCAAAATCTAAGATGACTTCTTTGCAGAAATTGATAGGACGAGTCTGAAATTTATGATTTACAACAGCCCTAGAAAATCTAAACCAATCTTGAAAAAAATAGAATATTTAATTTCAAAACGTACTATAAACCAGTCACAAAATGGTGTGATACTGTCATTAGTAAGGATATAAATCACTGATAGAGTCCAGAAATAAATTCATATACCCATGGCCAAATTAATTTTCAACAAGAGTGCCAAAAAAATTCAATGGGGGTGTGTGTATGTATGTGTGTGTGTATAATAATATATATATATTATTATATTTAAAAATAGTACTGGGACAATTAGATATCTACAGGCAAGGGAATGAAGTTGATCTTTACCTCATACCATACACAAAAAATCAATCAAAATGGATTAGAAACAAACATAAAAGCCAAAATTGTAAAACTCCAAGAAAACATAGGTAAAAATCTCACATTGGATTTGGCAATGATTTCTTGCACGACTCCAAAAAACATAGTAACAAACGGAAATAGGTAAATTGAACTTGAACAAAATTGAAAATTTTTGTGCAAAGAATTGTAGAGTGAATAAGCACCCCACAGAATGGGAGAAAATATGTGCCAATCATCTCATAAGGGATTAATATTAAAAAGTATATAAAGAATTCCTAAAACTCAACAAATGGACTTTAAAATAGAAAAAGAAGCTGAATAGATATTTCTCTAAGATACAAATGGCCAGTAAGCACATGAAAAATACTTAGTATTAGTCATCAGGGAAACACAAATCAAAACCCCAATGAGATACTACTTCACAGCCTTCAGGTGATTATTTTAAAAAGCAAAAAGAAAATAGCAAGTGCTGGCTACAAAGTGGAGCGATTGGAGTCCTAGGGCATTGCTGATAAGAAAGTAAAATGATACTTCCACTTTAATTTTTAAAAAATGTATACTCCTTTCTAAAGAATTCTTTAAAAAATTAATCTATCAGTTTCATTTCTAGGAATAGATCCAAAAGAACTGAAATCAGAGGGCTGGGAATGTAGGTCAGTGGTAAGAGCACTGGCCTAGCACATGTGAGGATCTGGGTTTGATCCCTAGCATGGCAACAAACCTGAGAGCAGACACCATAACAGGTATTTGTATACAAATGTTTATAGCATTATTCATAATAGCTGAACAATCCTTGTAGTGATAAATAGATAACAAAATGTGTTACAAATATACACACGTAGTATTGCTTAGTCTAGCTGGGCATGTTGGCGCCCACCTATAACCCCAGCAGCTCAGGGGGCTGAGGCAAGAGATTGCAAGTTCAAAGCAGCCTCAGCAACCTATCAAGGCCCTAAGCCATTTAGAGAGCCCCCGTCTCAAAAAATTCAAGGGTTGGGGATGTAGCTCAGTGGTTAAGTGTCTCTGGGTTCAATCCTTGGTACAAGAAAAAAAAAAATGTTTTGTCTCGTTGATGAAAAGTTTCCAAGACAGATAGTGGGTGTTTGGACAACAGTGAATGGACATAATGCCACAAACTGCATACTTACAATTGCTAAAATTGTAAATTTTTATGTCATATTTTACAATAAAAAGTTAAAAGGCAACATGTGGGAATAAATAATTGGAAATCATATCTGATAAAAGGCTTATATCTAGAACATATAAGAATTCTTACAATCTGACAACAGAAATACAAAGAATCCAATGAAAAAATAAGCAAGGAGCTAAGTATGGTAGCACTTGCCTGTAATCACAGGAATTGAGACTGAGGCAGGAGTTCAAGGTCGGCCTGGACAATTTATCAAGACCATGACACAAAATAAATGAGAAGGCTGGAGATATAACTCAGTAGTAAAGAGCCTGTGGATTCAATTCCCAGTGCGGGAGGTAGATTGGAGAAAAGAAACAAAATGGGCAAGGGATCTGACTAGACATTTCTTCAAAGACATATTGGCTAATAGGTGTGTGAAAACGTGCTCAATGTCATCAGGTAAGTATGCTAATCAAAACCACAGGGAGATGCCATTTCACATACATTTGAATGGCTAGAATCAAAAACGCCAAACATTAAGAGGATACAGAGGGCTGGGGATGTGGCTCAAGCGGTAGTGCGCTCGCCTGGCATGCATGCGGCCCAGGTTCGATCCTCAGCACCACATACAAACAAAGATGTTGTGTCCGCTGAAAACTAATAAAATAAAATATTAAAAAAAAAAAAAGAGGATACAGAGAAATCAGAACTCTTATGCTGTGTTGGTGGGAATATAAAACAGTGCCGTTGCTTTAGGAAACAGTCTAGCAGTTCTTCAGACCATTAAAGAGTTACTATGTGACCCAGAAATTCCACTCCTGGGTATATGCCCAAGAGAAATTAACACAAACTTGTATCATTATGTATAATAGCCAGAAAATGAAAACTCAAGTATCAATAAATGGATAAACAAAACTTGGTATAGTCAAATATTCTGTCATTAGAAAACAAGTACTGATACATGTTGCAATATAAGTGACCCTTGAAGACATGCTAAGTGAAAGAAGCCAGTCACAGAAGACCACATATTGCAATTCATACCATGCATGTGAAAGTACAGAGTAATGTAATCTATTGAGACAGTTTAGGGATTGCTTAGGGCTGGGGGTAGGACAGGACAGGAAACCAGGGTGGACAGCTAAGGAATAGTTTCTTTTTGAGGTGATAAAAATTTACTTAAATTAACAATGGTGATGGCATCCTGTGTGTGAATATACTACATACCACTGAATTGTACATTTTAAATGGGCAAATCATATGGTGTGGGAATCTTATCTAATCAAACTAAAAACAAGCACCAAGAAAAGATCATTTTACAAGAGTGAAAAGTAACTCTTGCATGTAAAAGTTACTTTTGATTTGTAGATTAGGGTTTTAGAAACTCTGAAACACAATGTCACTACATTAGCCCTAACTCTGTATCTTTGCTCTCTTAAGATAAGAGACAGTGAAAACCCACACAAAAGCCAGGAGAAGGGGTGCATGCCTTTCATCCCAGCAGCTTGGGAGGCTGAGGCAGGAGGTTCACAATTTCAAAGCCAGCCTCAGCAATTTAGCAAGGCCCTATCTCTAGATAAATGTTTCAGTGGTTGAGTTTCCCTGGGTTCAATCCCTAAAATATATAAAAAAAAGAAAGAAAACCCACACAAAAGCCATTAGATCCACATAAGGCCTGCTCAGTAATAAGACAGTCACTACCAGCTTAGTTTAGTGGGAACACTGCTAATACACCCGGAAAAAGAGTATGTGGGATGGACTGAGGGAAACAGGCAAAAAGCAAATAAAAAACAAACATCAACCAACCTTCTTGGCTTTCTTCCATAAGGTCAGAAGTTTTAGAGAAAGAAAATACATTTTAAAACCTTGAACACAGGTTTTCTTGGAACAATCTGCAATACAATTTCCCTTCAACAAATGGGACAAATGTTATATGGTTTTACTTGACTCAATTTATATACACCAGTTAATAAGCAGAATTAGCGTATTGTACACCAATCACACTAAGACAACAGAAAGAGTTCTGCTGCATACTCTAATCCTAGCAAATTTCACTTTACCAGGATTCAGGCAGAGAGGTTAACCTCCCTTTCACTCTGGGGGGGGGGGAAAAAAAAAAAGCAGAAGTTGAGCCAATGTCAGCTTTTTGACATGCTTCTTCTCTCCCAATCATAATTTATTTAATAAAACACACACAATTTATGCCATTGACAGGAATTTATTCTTCCATTATCATAATACTAAAGCTCTCTGAATATCTGTGGCGGCAATTCCATTAGATTTATGCTAAGTTAGAATTTTTCCATCAAAACCAAAACACTTGTGAAAAGAAAAAAAAAATGCTCAGGGGAAAAAAAAATAAATCTCTCCAAAGTAATTACATTTAAGTGTTGAAATTAAGGCTAAGTAGGAACAACTGACCTTATCCCTTCAGACAGACGCCCCAGAATGTGCTAACATGCATATGCTCCTATTTCTACAATGTGTTATGTGACACATAAGCCTTCTCCTGAGAGCAGAGAGGCACACAACACTTACTTTGCTAAATAGGCTCAAGGTTTTCATTTAGAGGACCTTAAGTTAACGACAGGTGCACTTGGTAGCTATCATATCTTCATACTCTTTGTAAGCGATTGAGCCATCAGGCTCAATGGTCAAAACACTCAAGGGGCTGTATTTGGCAGGTACACATGATGGTCTTGGCACTGAGGAGTCGAGCTTCTCATAGATGATGTTCTGCACTGTGGTGTGAACCGGAGAGCCATACCTATGCCCAACTGCCCTTGGACATTCTCCTTTACAGTACCGAAGGTTGTATCTGTGAGGGGCCACAATCCAGTTGTCCCACTTGAGCTGATTAAAGCTAATTCTAAAGTCATGGAGCTCACACTCATTTTGGGGGAAATAAAACTGTTTGAAGTATTCACTCAGGTTGAAGGAAGCTGGAACCAGTGGCTTCTTCAATTGAGAGGTGATGATTTCCCGACCTCTCCGGTGGCAGGTGGGTCTCCCACCCTTGACAGTCTCTTTTCCCATGGGATAGGCAGCCACATTACTCTTCTGGTCAGGACCCTGTGAAGACTTCCTTTTATGGTGAAGGGAATACCACCTGTGATAAGCCTGAGCACTTGTGTCATTCAGATATAAGATCAGTGAGGGGGGCAGAAGAGGCATGGTAAAGGATCCATCCTGAGCTGAAGGGTGCTGCAGCTGGTCTTTCGTGCATGTAAAATTGACAGACATGTGAATATTTCTCTCACTGGAAACCACTATAGGCTGGAGGAGTGGGGTTACATCAATCTCAATCTGCTTGTGATTCTTTCTAAATTTGAACTGTGAATTAAAGATCAATGAGTAAGGAGCTCTAGGGAGAGTCTTGTTAGAAGACTTTGGTTCTTTTATCACCAGGTTGCACCAACATTTAACAATAGAGGAAGGAGAAACTGAATTATTGTAAGTGTAGAGCAAGACGGATTTGAGTAAGTGTTCGACGGCAGTAACACGATCCAGATTAAACAGCAGGTCCACTGATGGAAAGATTCCTGAAAGGAAAAAATGATTCACCAGTTAGTGGTGCTTGCATACAAATCAGATGTAACTGGAAGTCAAATCTAGGAATTGTACTAGCAATATGCAATCTCCCTTCTCTTTCCCTGCATTTCCTCAAGCCTCAAAGACAATGAGGGGAGGGACTAAAAATAGATGTATAGAAAAGGTAATTGGTACCCTATTTCCCAGGAACCATCAATGGATATTTTATCTCCAGAATGTCAGAACAACTTTGATGGTAAATTAAAGCAACAGGGAATTATTACATTCTGAAGTTCCAATATTAGCAACCTGCTCCAAACACAGGAAGCTAATAAGTAGAATTTTTCTTTTGGAGACACTCTATAGGGAAAAACCATCATAGTAATTTTAAACACTCAGCCTTGTTAAAACAATAATCTAAGCCCAGTGAATTAAATCAATTAAAACCACTTGACTGCCCATTTAATTTAGCACACTTGAGAAAAAAAAAAAGGAGGCTCTGATGCCTCTAGAGTAAAATGAAAGGCATTTAAATGGCCACAAGCCCTGGTTGTTTAGAATGGTTTTCTTTACATCATGAGCTAGAGAAAGTACTTTTTCTAAAGCACTGCTCCTCTCACACCTAAGACAACGAACTGCTCCAATTGTTGACTTACACTTTGGTGTTTCGTTTTTGCAATGGTAGGAATGAAACTCAGGGCCTCACACATCTAAACAAGCACCCTACCACTTAGCTACATCCCCAGCCCTGACACTTTGTTCTTAAGGACCTACTGTACCAGATGGGGACCTCACAGAAAGCAACAAACAAGAGACTATCCTGTTTGACACAGAACATACTGGGCATATCAGATATAGGACATTTCCAACAGCTTGGTGAACAGAAACAGATGCTAAGCTTCTCCAGCACTTTCCTCAGCCTTCAAAGCCATTAGGTCTCTTTCAGTGCTAAAATCCTATCATCTGAGTCCACTTTAACCAATGACAGCATTAGAAAGAAAACATGAGCCAGGCGCTGTGGTGCGTGCCTATAATCCCAGCAGCTTGGGAGGCTGAGGCAGGAGGATTGCCAGTTCAAAGCCAGCCTCAGTAAAAAGGAGGCACTAAGCAACTCAGTGAGACCCTGTCTCTAAGTAAAATACAAAATAGGGCTGGGGATGTGGCTCAGTAGTCAAGTGCCCCTGAGTTCAATCCCCCGGGGACTCCCTACAAAAAAAAGAATGTGATCAAGTATCAAATTTGTTTCAATTGGATATTGAGTATCCTACAAAATAAAACCCAATTCAAGAAGCAAAACCCAGCAGGGCACAGTGGGGCAGGCCTGTAATTTCAGCTACTCTGGAAGCTGAGGCAGGAGAATCATAAGTTTGAGGCCAGCATAGGCAACTTAGTGAGACCCTATCTCAAAAATGAAAAATACAAAAGGGCTGGGGTGTAGCTCAGCGGTCAAGTACTTGCCCAGCATGTGCAAGGCTCTGGGTTCAATCCCCCGTCTTCTAGACACACATACTGCTCAGGTTTGTCTGTCATGGACATACAGATGCATCTAAGCTTATAACATCGTCCCTCCACCCAGTTAAGAAATTTGCTTTTACACACCTGTCACCTGATGTCCAAGAGCCTGTTTGTGCAGGGAACTGGGAGTGAAGAGCCGAATGGTGTTGTATAGGTGACTTCTAGTGGATTTGGGAATCCCCTCCTTCGTAGCATACATCTTATAGAGCTTCTTCATGTAGTGCAAAGCTCTGGAGTCTGGCTGCAGCCTAGGGGCTCCACCTCGCCCATCAGACAGAAACTTGAAAAGGTGGCCAGGGCTGGGTGTCCCATCTATAGGTTGCAGCACAGACCAAGGTTCTGCCTCAGATTCCAACTCAGCATTAGTTGCAATCTGAGCTTCTCCCCTAGAAGTCTGAGAACCAAGACTAACATGAAAACACAGCCAGGCAAAACAGCAAAACCAAATGAGAAATTTGCTGGGAAGTGCCATGGCTTGGGAGAACTAACAAGGAAAACATTTCCCCATGCCTGTCTTCTTCCTAAAGGCCAGGAACCCCTAGCTTGGTCTCTTAAATAAATTTTAGGTGTGTGGGTTGACTAGCATCCCTTCTCCAATCAGGCCTCAAGGATCCCTAGCTGAAGATAATTTTTATCAGGTCTATAGCAATCAGCTGATAATATCCTAATTATCCAATTTGTCCTCATTAGGTCAGATTGACTTGATTATGTAACTTTCCCTTTGTCCCTGGAATTTACTTAAAATCTGCTGAGTTATTGTTACGCTAATGAACTAGCGATGGAGCTGACAGTCTAAGAGAAATTGAAGAATTATCTTAAAATAAAATCTCTCCTTTTATTAAAAAAAAAAACAGAGAAATTAGGATTCTTTTTTGAGGTGGGGGTTACCAGGGATTGAACCCCGGGGCACTCAGCCACTGAGCCCCACATCCTCAACTGTTTTTTGGGTTTTTTTTTTTTTTTGGTAATTTATTTAGAGACAGGGTCTCACTGAGTTGCTTAGTGCCTCCCTTTTACTGAAGCTGGCTTTGAACTCACAATCTTCCTGCCTCAGCCTCCCAAGCTACTGGGATTACAGGTGTGCGACAGCAAGAAATTAGGATTCTTAAAATGTTCTTGGGTGTCTGTCAAAACTCCCAAGGCATGTAGAAAAGCTAATCATTTGTGATGATACTCAGCTCTTTTGGTATGCAATTTGTGATATTGGGTTTACTCTTCCTTTCAACTCATCCTCGACAGTTCTCCCACTTTCAGGTGCTTAAAATAAGTAATTATTTTACTGAGTGTTGAATGGAGAGTGAGAGAAAAATCACAATTGACATAGAAATTCCAAAGAGCAGGGAAATGTTAGGTTGCTCAGTCCTTCTTAGTGGCTTAGTATAGGACTTGTACTTGGTAAGTTGCAGTGTGCTTGTGATGTGTTTTAAAAGAGGACACAGCCTTTAACTGTGTTTTTTTTTTTTTTTTTGGTATTGGAGATTGAACCCAGGAACACTCTTCCATTGAGCTACATCCCCAGTACTTCATTTATTTATTTTTAATTATTGAGACAGAGTCTCACTAAATTGCTGAGGCTGTCCTTGAACTTGCAATCCTCCTGTCTGAGCCTCCTGAGTCATCAGGAGTGTGCCACCATGTCCAGCTTCTTAACCTTAACTAATATATAACATCTTGATGTCCTTACTTTGCTTAGCACATTCATCTGAAAAGATTTTGGTTGAAAGCTTTTGAAGTGTTTGCAGGGGTTAGTAAATAAATGAATGCTTTATTTTTTATTAATCACCCAAATGGTGGTAGAATTCAGTACAGTATTTTCATCCTTAACTGTTCTATGTATTCATGCTCCTGCCTTGGAGCAGAGACAAAATTAGATATTACTTTTTGTTAGTTGCAGAGCAGTCTGAACAACTGTTGGCTGCAGGTGGGCTGAACACTGGACCCTTACCTGTTTGGTTCCTTTTCGTTTGTTTGCCTCAAGTCTGAACACTCAACCCCACTCAAGGCTGAACATTCGACCCCCACCGGTCTGGTGCAACGAAAACCCACGTCTGACCCCTGCCCCGTCTGACTGAAGGCAGAAGATGACACACTTAGCAACTACTGTATGATCCAATCACTGTACGCCAACAAGGCAGCTTGCAGACCCAGAGACCCCCATTATATTTTGGCTATAAAAACTCTCTCCTGATGGGCGCCCCTCTCTTGCTCTCTCTTTCTTCTCTCCGCTCTCTTTCCTCTTTCTTCTCTCTCTGTTGCGCTTTGCTTTCCCACCTCACTCCCCCCCCACACTTTGCTCTTTTCCTCTCTCTTCTCTCTTTCCCTGCTCTTTCTCTTTCTACCCTGTCACTGCCACAATAAAGATCTTTTGGTCGCTACAAGTGTCGCGGTCACTTTCCTTTCACTTTTTAGAAAAACGAGGTAAATGTGCGTCGTGAAAAGCTGACACAAGGGGCAACCCAGCACCACCCTCAAGGAGGCTACCTGCTTGAGGAAAATTAACCCACACTTAGAGTACAAGGTAAATCACCAGTCTGTGCAGCGCCTCGATTGATAAAGCTGATACTGGCGTAGCTGATGGTCTGAAAATAGAGCCCCTTTTTAGCTACTGGACAAAACCCCATAAAATCTCGCATTAGGCTGCCGCGGGGTGGCTGCGCCTCAGGGGCGTTCTCCACTGCCTGGGGGACTCACGGGCGCAAAGCTCTGGACCACCGTGACCCTCCAGGTCAGCTGCCACCCCGACCCCAAAATTCAAAATTATTATCGTTGTTGTTATTACTATTATTTTGTGGTGCTGGCGATGTCACCCAAGGCCTCACGCATATTAGGCAAGTGCTCTACACCGAGCTACATCCCAGCCCTGGCGCCTTTTTTCTCCCCTATCTCTAGGTCACCCGGCCGCTCCCGGAGCCTGAAGCTCCGTGGAAAGGCCCAGGACTACTGTGAGCGCCTCCCGGGGGACACCAGGTCCCCCAAATCTCGCAGGAACCCAGACGTTCACCACTAAGCCCCACCTCCGGGCCTAGGCAGCAGCACCCCCACCCCAGCACCTCCCACCCCCGGGTCACCCGGGCAGGCCACGTCTCTTTAGAATCCGGGGCAACAGCGTCTTCCCCCGGAAATATAGGAAAAGTGGTATCTCCCGGAAGTGACTTCACGGCCTCCAGGAGCGGCTTCCGATCCTGCCGGAAGTGACGCTAGGAGATCCTTGGGTCAGTGTCCGTGGAGGGTGAGGTGACCTGGCTGCGGGAGTGAGCTGTGGGAGCGTGGGGGCGCCGCCTGGGCTCGGGGAGGCTAAAGAGTTCCGGGGCGGGCTTGGGGTCGGTGATCCCAGCCTGTTGGTGGTCCCCAGGCTGAGTCAAGGTCCTGTCCGCCCTCGGTCCTTACAGAGCCGCCGCAACAATGGGCCGCGAGTTTGGGAATCTGGCGCGGATGCGGCATGTGATCACCTACAGCTTGTCGCCCTTCGAGCAGCGCGCCTTCCCGCACTATTTCACCAAGGGCATCCCCAATGTCCTGCGCCGCACTCAGGCGTCCATCCTTCGCGTGGTGCCGCGTGAGTGCCCAGGCCGGGCGGCTGGGGGCCGGACTGCGGTGCCTTCCGTGAGCGGGCACTCTATCGTGCACACCTTTCTCACTGAATATTCCTAGCAGCCCTTAGCTAGACTTGTCATCCTGAAAAACCGGCCAAAGGTCGCTTGGGTGACTCCAACGTCTTCCCCTGAGGTCATCTTTATCCACGTGTCAGTGACGAAATGTCTCCTGTTGAATGTGCGACAGATAGTTCTGACAGTTGCATGACATTTTGAACACTGAAGCGTATACCTTAAAATGGTGACGCTTGTTAGGTGAATTTTATCTCAAATTATCCCTAAATTTTTTAATTTAATGTGCAACAGGGGAGACTTGGGGGGGGGAATTTGGTGTGAAATCTTCCTGGGTGGTCCACCTTCTTTTGGTTTCCTGTAAAATGGATGTGTTAAGGAACCTTTCTTGATCCTCCAATTTAAAAGTCTTAAAAATGAAAAGAGCTGGAGATATAGCTTAGTGGTACAGCACCCTTGGGTTCAATCCCCAATATCCCCACCCCCTCCCCGCAACAAAAATCTTAGAAGTTAGCACCAGGAGGGTGGAAACTGCTGGAAGTCAGAATTAGAGGGTGGAGACCTTTGTTTTATGTGCTCACTGTTTATTCTCCCTTTTGGTTTTTAAAGCATTTGTAGTGTTTTATCTTGTCTACACCTGGGGGAACCAGGAGTTTGAGAAATCGAAGAGGAAGAATCCAGCTGCCTATGAAAATGACAAGTGAACAACTCATCTGGATAATGGTTTTCCATCTGTGAAAGACTGTTTTCTGAGAGAGGAGTCTGTATGGTAGTGTCTGGAAGACACAATAAACTTATTATGGACTACACGGTTGTGACTTTACATTTTGTGAGCAGAATCCTAGGGTGACTGCTAATATTCAAGTTCATGAAGCTTCACTTCTCAGTATTGGTCCTTAATAGTTTCGCTCAGTCTGGGTTTTTGGTGAATAGTGAACTCACCTTTTTTATTATCTACAAGATAGTAGCTTCAGCTGCTCCTCTAATTAACCAGTGGTAGGTGGCATGTGCTGCAGGGAGTGTTGGGTTTTGGCCCTCTGTTCCCATTGTAACCATAAAGTCTAGTAACTATTCTAATTACTGTGTATCAGCTATTCAGCCACACAAATGAACACAAACTTTAAACACAAACTTCACAACAATCTTTGAATTAAGTATTTTATACTCATTTTGCAGTTGAGGAAAACAGACACAGCTTGAGTAATTTGCCCAAAATTATACAGCAGTGAATGGTGAAGTCTGGCACCACAGTGTGTGCTCTTAAAAAAAAAATTTTACACCTAAAAAAAATATATATTTAAAAAAAAAAAAACAACTGTTATACAACCTTTCCTCAGGCAGGCCTTCCTTACCCTAAGGGAACCTGGCTATAAAAGGAGGGGATAAAGGTGATCAATGAACTATGACTGTCCTTGTGCCACAGAGCCAACAATTTTTTAACCCTCTGGGCTATAAAGTCTGTAGAAAAAGTTTACCCCTGCTTTGGAGACATTGAACTGCCTTTTTGGTAGAAAAGGTGCCATTTTCCCGTCAGTTTCATGCTTCGGGCCCATATTTTGTTTTTAAACTTCTAAGGACACTTCCTGCTAGTCTGTTGCTAAACTTCTGACTCAGGCTGTCTTTCCTTTTCAAATGATTGCTATAGTCCTTAGCCAAAATTAAGAAAAATAAACGGATAAATTGCATTAATTGTGAGGCAGGATGTGAGGATCTCTAACAAGGACTACACACTTAAACTATCACTGTGTGAAATCAGGCAAGAAACCGGCACTTTTTTTTTCTTTGTACTGGGGACTGAACCTGGGGGTGCTTTCCCACAGAGCTGCTTCATCTCCATCCCATGTTATATCACAGGTGTGTGCCACCACGCCTGCTGAAACCTGCATTTTTTTAGTTTCTTGCAATGGAATAAAGTTCTTGGGTTGTGCTATTGGTGAAATGAGTGATATGTGTTCATAGACTTAACAGTGTAGCTATTTGAGGTAAACTCTTGCTTGGCTCTTCATTAAGATTTTGTCCCCATGTCTTGCTGCCAAGTCTTGCAGCATACTTGGGGTCACAGACTCCTTTGAGGATCTGATGAAAACTGAGCTTGAAGGAGGTGTCAGTGCACCCATCCTTACCTTGCATCATTCTGGAGGGGGTGGTGGTGGAGCTAACTGCCTCGATAGGCTGTCTTTCTTTCGCCCTCTGCAAATCCAGAGCTACGTGATCCACCACTGAGCTACACCCCCAGCCTTCTCCCTCTGCTTTTGGCCCCAAGCCTCCTATGAGAGATGGCCACTCTATTCCAGCCTTGTTTTAACATTTTTTCTGGTTCTCTAACTCCTTGATAGCTACCAGAAACAACCAAATTTAGCTCATCAGGGGCTGGGGTTGTGGCTTGAGCGGTGGCACACTTGCCTAGCATGTGTGAAGCACTGGGTTCGATTCTCAGCACCACATAGAAACAAAATATATTGTGTTCACCTAAAACTAAAAAATATTTTTAAAAAATTAGCTCTTCTCAGTTTATACCAGACACTGAACTTGAGGGTCTGAATCCATTTCATCCTAGGAGTGCTCTTCTGAGAGGACCCTATTTGTAAGTCCATGTGTCTTGCCAAGGGCTCCCCTCTCTGAACTTGGGAGCATGAATCTCTCAAAGGGGTGCTAAGGCATCTGTGAGCTGTGTTAAGTTGTAGCTTAGTGCTTCTTTCTGTACACACTGTGGGACCTGGGATTACTCTAAGGACTATTCATAGACGTCCACAAAGGAGAACTTTTTTAAGGTACAGCCTCAATGCTTATGACAAGCATTTGGTGTTTCTAGCCCTAGGTGTGGCTCTTCAACCTGCTATGGCACAATCATTTGCCCCATTTAACTCTTCTTTTCCCAAATGCTTCTGCCCCTACAGGGCTTTTTGTCTATGGGCTGTCATTCAGTGAAGGAAGTTCTCCAACATAGTGCCCAAGATGCAGGCCTACCTAGTGCAGGGCCAGAAGTCTGCCAGTGCCAGCCAGCTACAAAGCAGATGCACTTTGACCCTTTGTTGAAATATTACCTGGAAAAGTTTTTCTGTTTCAAAGTCTTTCATCTTTTATTAGGCGCTCCTGCTCAGGGACAACAAAAAAGGTTCCAATTACTGCTAAGTCCTAATGATCTCCTCTCTCCACCTGGAATATATTTCACACAGCTGCTCATGTATCTGCACCCTCTTTCTCCCATTTCGTCTGAGGCACTTACCTCAGAAGCAGAAAGTCCCTGGGAATTGTATCCAGAGTGACCAAGCTCTCAACTATCAAACCTGTTTCAGTCTCATTTTCTTGTAAATTAATCATTTTTGAGTCCCCAAATGTCACTGCTCCAAAGGCCTGAGATCTACTCCCATCTCACTGATAGAACAAGAGACATATTCCAAAAGGGGAAGGGATGACCTGTAGAGGGTCAGGTGTTCAAGGAACTGAGGCTCTGGTCTCTTTCTCCTTATGGCTGAAATTGTCAACAGCTGCAAAGGCCTTTCTACTGGAGAATGGAGTAATTGTTCATTCAGCAAAATACTTTACTGCAGAGAGCCCATGAATTGTTCAACTTTCAGGAATAAGGTTTACACAGCCTCTCAAGCATGTGATTGGCTGAGGGTAAGTAACTTCTGCCAATACAGCTAAGTACTGTCTGATGCCACGTTTCAAAGTTTGATTTTTGTTCCATATTTAGTTTAAAACAACAGGTTGGGCATTTTTAAATTATTTCTCTAGCAATTTTTCCTTCTACAGAACATACCTAACCATTCTTTTGGGAAGAGGGGTGGCATGTAACATAGAGGCTTGAGGTCCAAAGATTCCAGCAGTGTTGCTGCACCCATGAGGATGGTCCTTTTTCCTACACACAGTGGGCTAAGGGCTTCAAGTTCTTTCCTTCTCTGTGGGGTTAGCTTTAGAAATTAACACAAATGGCTAGTTTGATTTTGCTTGGAATACAGAAAGCCAGAAGTGGGGCCAGGTACAGCAGCACATGCCTGTAATCCCAGTGACTCAGGAGGCAGGAGTATCACATGTTTGAGGCCATTCTCAGTTACTTAGCAAGACACTGTCTCAAAAAGATAAAAATGTCTGGGGATGTAGCTCAGTGCTAAAGCACTGCTGGGTTCAATCCCCAGTACCCCACCCCCCAAAAAAGGCAGTAGTGCAGACTAGGAGAACCCATGTCAGATGGGTTGCCTGTCAATGGAGGCTGGCACTGAGCCCACAGACCCAACTGGTTCTAGGACATCATGTTGAGTCTTTTGCTTATCTAATCAGATTTGTGTCCTTAGTCAATATTCACTAGGTCACCAGAGCCTCTCCTCAACCCGGTAAAGGTTTTTACTTAGTCCTATACCTGGGGTCATCATGTTCAAACTCAGGGATAAAGGAAGGGAACAACAAATTAAGTCTTGAATTTTTAGGATTGGTTAGTTGGGTTCAATGTCTACTTCTCAAACGTTCTAAAGTTGAAGCAGTGGTGCCCACTCTAGGCCTAGTTCCATGGTCCCAAGAGAACTGGAACCAGGACAGACGATCTGTGGACACACCCCACCTTCTGCCATTTTTTAAGGTTCATCATACTACCCTCTTCTCCCTTGGCAAGAAGCACCCTCTTACTTGCAAGGCTGCTAGAGACCTATTATTAGAATTCTATTAGTGGCCATGTCCATGTCATGTAGCCATACTACTCCTGGTTTACATAACATGTCCTCTCTTGATCCGGACACCTGCAGTGATCCCTGCTAATGGATGTTTTGGGCTTTTTAAGTTCTCTTAGCCTTGTTCCTGCAGCCCTGAGGCTGTTGGAAGAAAATACTCTACCAAGACCCCTAATGATTGGGAAGGAGACCCATAATTCAATGTTACTACACAAGCTCTCACAGATTTAGGTGCTCCTGTTACCTCCCCATTCCTATCTTCTTAAAAAAAAAAACAATCTATATAATCATTTATTCAGTTCACCCATGGCTCCCCTACCAGTTTTGACTGCACTCCCCCTGAAAAAGGTAGACTAGGTTTTAAATTTTCCATAGCCAGGTCTTCCCAGCTGGAAGATGAGATTGTATAGATATTAGAGTAACAAACCATCTATGCAGCTGGGAGCTCTGGGGCACTGTAGACTGTTTGCTGAAATCTCCTTTCACAGAAGAGAGACCAGGGCCATATCCAATTGGCTGTACACAATACATCAGGACTTCTTACCTAGACAAGGATGAAAGAGGGCATCATTTCTGAAGACTTTTTTATTAGAATTCTATTTTGATTAGTGACCTCACAGAGCTATTTTAGGATGGGGGGGTGGTTGAACCCAATATTAGCATATGCTCTACCACCAAGCTATACCCCCTAGTGCATTAAACTATTTTAAAACAGAAATGTGGCTAGATTCCTTGTCTCCCTCAGAGGTTTCACGTGGCTTTCATACAGGAGGGGCAGTTTTAACTTTTGTTATAATGGGTGAAAGGGTCCATGCCAGCAACACAATTACTCAAAGTCCAGATGAGAAATCAGTAAATATAACATGCCTGAAAGGTAGCCCGAGCACATTCCTCTGGTAGACATTAACTTATTAAATTGATCCTGATTACAAATATAAACTTTGCTCCTATCTCACCTGGCAACCATGAAGGCAGATGTCTATAAAAGGAAGTGGGAACAGTCTCTGGCTTTTAGGCTCCAACATCCTCCCTCTGCCAAGATGTGGCATCTCAAACTCCTTGCAGTACTCATGATCTGCCTGCTGCTGTTGGGCCAGGTAAGGAAAGAAGGAATATGTGTGGACACAATAGTGGCAGTAGTAG